CTGGACTCATCTCCCGGGGCCCCGCTGTAAACAAGGAACAGGAGGGGAATTGCACCGTAAATCCTAACGTGACACCTACTGAAGCAAACTAATTCAATTCGCTGACCTTCAGTGGTTTAAGTCCCCACCTTGTTGCGGTGATGTACAGTTATGTGGCGCCATAATCGCTGCTGGATGCGAGTAACGGTGCAATGGAGCATGTTTTTTTTTTTTCACAAAGGCTGCATGCAGATTTCAATTCCCTGCTCTGGACAATTTGCTTGATATGAAAGTCATGCCTGAAAAAATAAAAGACATCCAGCTTTCTGTGGCGCTGCACAGCGTAAATGTAAAAATGTGTGTTCATGCAGGTCGCACACGAAGCACACGCTCTCATGTCCAACCTTCAATATTTTATTTTATAATTACTTCCATGCACCCCATGGACAGCCCTCTTTGCCCCCCACCTCCACCACCTCCACCACCCACCACCTATCTGCTGAGTTACTTTAGCCCAATTAATGCCTGCTGGGTGATGTGATAAAAGTGCACAGGAGCAGAGTTTAGAAGCAAAGTGAAGCCGCAAAAAGTATTTTTTTTTTAATCAATTTCCAATTAGGAATTCATCCCTATCTGTATGACCACTGGTAATTGAGTCAAGGTGGAGGAAGTGAGGGCCCGGGAGGCGGGGCTGATCCTTCAGGGATTATTCATTTCCATATAAATGAGCTGGTAAATGCACGCCTGATTTTCCAGATTCATTATTGACCAGAAGACAAAGATGAGTAATAGGCATTTTCATCCCCTTTTTTTTGTTTTGTTTTACTTTAGTGTCAAGATTTACTTCTGGTTTGCAAAGCTGATAAAATCCAGTTTGATGTTGCTCTTGGAGAGGATGAAGAGTGCAGATGTTTATTATAACAAGCAAGAGCAGTTATTCAGCACCCCCGAGCCACCGAAAACCTTTAGCGGAAGAGATAGCGAGAGTCACGATGAGTCCAAGGACCCGGTGGCATTTCCTTGTGCTAGCTATCCACTGAAATGAGTGTCAACACTTTCTCAGCTCTCATGTTTGTGCTTATTTAGGATATTTGCCAAAAAAAAAGAAAAAAAAAGCAGTGCACTACATTTATGTGCTGAAACAGACAGTGAATGAGATAATTAAGTAGAAATATTAAGGAATTATTCAGTAATGATTAAAAATAATACAGTGTTGGGAAATTAATAGCATAAAACAAATGTACAGATTCACACCAAGTGGGCTCCACTGGTGTTTTATCGGTACTTACTGGTATTTTCATATTTTTTACTCAACGCAGCACAAAGACAACAAATCCCCCAAACACCCCTAAAGCAGCAGCATTTCACCAACGAATCCAACAAAGCAGACGAACTCAGTGATTCTTTAACATTAAATTGGAAGCGACTAAGAAAGCAGCATACGTTATTTTGACACAGTGACCGCGTATCGATCACGTCTGCCGCCGTGCAGATTGCTTTTTTCTGTCGCTGTCATTTTCCACTAAAACGTCTCATTTTGAGTTTAAGTGGAATCAATCAGACACCACAGGGAGCGGCTCACTGGCATCTTTCTCCTTCTTTTGTGCAACTGTTTTAAGAAGACTGCTGGTAACTGGGAGCACTGGGTTGCAGCGTTGAGGGCAGAAGGCGCCGTCAGCGAACACCAGATGTGCAACAAATGGCAGAAATTTACAGAAATTTACAGAAAACATGGATGTTCAGTGTCTGGCTTTCCTCCACCTGTTTTCATCAGCATTTTAAGTTCACTAAACAAATAAAAACCATCACTGCAATCCTTGTTTTTCACACCTATCCACTGTGTTGGCAAACACCATCCCACGGTGGCTGTGAAGGCAGAGAACCGTACCGCAGTGACCATGATGTCAGACGGGGACCTCAGCAGGACAATTATGGATAATTGATGCTTTTAGCTGCTCGTTTGGTGCCAATGTTGTGATAATGGTTCACTTTTGTTTGGTAAATAGTTCATTTTGTTGGTTAATTTACTTCATGTAATGAACTTCATGTTAAAAGTTTTTTGGTTATTTTGAAATTTTTTGCAGAAAACAGTTTGATGTAATGACGTCTCTGCTGATAGCAGCCTTTACATCGTCTCTCAATGTACACACATATCCATCCATCCATTATCTATACACCACTTAGTCCTCACTAGGGTCATGGGGGGCGGAGCCTATCCCAGCTGACTCAGGGTGAAGGCAGGTTCACCTGGACAGGTAACCAGTCTATCACAGGGCTACACTTAGAGACAGACAACCAAGCACACTCACATTCACACCTACGGACAATTTACAATCACCAATTAACCTCAGCATGTTTCTGGACTGTGTGGGAGGAAGAGAACCTGGAGAGAACCCACGCTGCACGGGGAGAACATGGAGACTCCACGCAGAAAGATCCCGGGTGTCCTCACCGGGACGTGAACCGGCGACCTTCTAGCTGTGAGGCGACGATGCTAACCATGGTTAGCACTGCAAGGTGTCTCGGTGCACCGAGACACCTTGCAGTGCTCATAATTAGAGCTGAAAACAGAGAGATATTAACTGAAGACGTAACCGTCCCTCTACTTTAACGAACACAGAGTCAGAGTGGACTTTGCCACATCAGAGGACAGCAAATGTTCAGCGTCTATCTTGTGGTGAACGTCGGCTCCGTGCGTCTCAGTGAGTCTTTTACTCTTCTATTACAGCCAATGTCACATCTGTACAAACAACTAAACCAGCACATGTAAAGCCAGTGTGTTACAACTACCAATACATGAAATCAAAGCATATTTCACTTAACTGCTGAAAACATTGTTTTTCTTGCAGCTCTGCTCCTACAAAGGATTACTGTATTTTATAAGAGGATGCCATTTTCCTCCAGACACCCCCTCAGTCCTGTGGCCTTGTGTTGCAGATGGAGTTGAGCTCGCCATCAAGGACGTTCACAAGGATTTATTCTCCTCTTTTGCTTCATTTTGTTAAGGAAGTGTCCACCAGCCTCCTCCCATCATCAGCTCCTTTCTTTACAACATGACAAACTGGTTTTACTGGTATTGATCCGTATCGTGCATCTGGTGTTAGAAATGCTCTGACTCATTTTCTCACATGTATCATCTCACTTTTTATTGCTTCTAGTTTTGGACATTTTGGATTACAGGCTGGATTTTTACATATTTGTCCTTGACTGCAGCAGCAGAATGAGCTGCTGGGTTCAGTCAGGAGGCATCAGCCGGCTGTGACCTTGATCCGGCGTCGCTACCGCAGCGCATCACCTCCTCACCTCTCAGACACACCTTATAAATCTGTTAACGCATTATAAATCTCACATGAGGCAAAGTCAAGCACACGAAACATATTCTGGGCAGGAAGCAGCTTAGCGGACTCAGGAATGTAAGTACTTTACCTTTTCCCTAAATGTGTGCGTTAACAAACAGCAGTTCATGTGAGACGCAGTAAAGAAAGAATAACGTGTCTGGAAAGAGATCAGCTGATTATTCTGTACGGACGTAGCTGCCAACTGCAGCAGCTGGGCTGGACGCTGGCCTTTGCTGATCAAAATGTAAAACACGATCATCACCGTGGAGAGAGCGGCTCTGTGGGTTTTTGCATTTTGTAGATAACTGGACGGCTTCACTCCTGTGTGAGCTGAAGTCAATGAATACAGGTACAAGGGTAAAGTTAGCTTATGACTAAAATGTCAGCATGCTGTGTAGTTAACTAAAAAATAAATAAAAACAATAATAATATAATTTACAAAAGAAAAATCCACTTTCAGCAGCTTTAATAAACACAGCACACTGTCACGCTGCTTCTGGATGTGATTGAAACATGACGGAGGAAACTAATTAGGCCTTAATAGCACAGCTAATGGCTGATGGACATTTTTGTGAGAAATAAGTTTAATACATATTCATCAACGTGTGGATAGTAAACCCTGAGATGCAGCTCACTTCTCAGAACGAGGAGTCGAAGAGGTGCTCAGGGAGACACTGAGTATCAGAGGTTAATGCAACAGCAGACTTCAGCTTCAGCTCTCTACTTCAGGAAACATTAACAAACCTATTTATCCAACCGCAGCCCAAATAAAACCCGAAGGTGTCGAGGAGTTCAGCGCGTGCACGGATGATTATTGATTAACAACTTTTCAAAGTGAAGCAGCCACACTGAACCGCCGTCGTCACTGATTGGATCAATAGTGCATTTCCCCTCGCTGATGAGCAACCCGCAGAAACAATCATAATCTGATAACTGAGTTGTAAATAATGGCCTGCTGAGCTCTTAGCCTGGTGCTCGGTGCTTGTAACGGCTGCTTCGCTTTACCTTCCAACAGGCTTTAACAGTAGCGATGCGTTCGCTTACACGCCATGATTTACTTTTTTTATGCGTATATTTGAACAGCAACGCGCTCCCTGACTATCAAACAGACCGGAGGGCGTTTGAACTATAGGCTGCTTAGCATGACTGTGAATCTTTAACCTGAGCTAACCGAAGGGATTCAGATCTGCACAGGCATCTCTGATTTCCACCATTACTCCAGTGGCCACTGAGGAATAAACACAAGTGAATGTTAACCGTGCAATCATTTGAAGCCGAGGACCCACATGTGCACTCCTGAGCACTAAACAGCTCACTTTAAAGCACCTTTATGTCCTCTGGAGAGTGCTTGCGACTGCGCCTCCTGCCTGTTGAGCGACGGCGGCTGCGTGAATGGCTGTCATTGTCGTCGGCGGCGGCAGCAGCAAGCTAACGTGGTGCTCCGGGCCGGCGCTGCCATATGGCCGACTGGTGCAGAGTGTCTGTCTGCAGTCAGATCGGCCCGTCAGCGGCCAGCATCCACCCGGCAGACCGGAGCTGGTTCAGGGTTCACTCGTGGTTGTGGGATTTTTGTCAATTATGTAAGCTGATGACAGAGAGTTACATCATAAATGATATGTGCTATTATGGGCCCATACTGGAGATGAGCACATGTGACCCGGTTGTGAGAGGCTGTTTGTAAGATGAATGTCTGTTTAGTGTCGGGTATGTTCACACAGGAGTCACAGATGAAGAGTTAATCAGAACAAAATAGTCCTGTTTTATGCTCATACTACAACTATAGTTATGGTAGAAGTTTAGTAAATGAGAGCTTTGATAAATAAGGAACTTAAATGTAAATAAAATTTGTCCATTTGTATTTTTAGCGGCCTGTGATTTGGGGGTAATAAGAGCAGATTTCAACCTCGTTCTGTTAAAGCACAACACGCTTCCCAGACGGGCCCGTCCAGTTGTCTGGTAATTAAAAATAATAAATTAATGCATGTTCTGTGCCATTTTGCCTTAAGTAGGGATGTTCTCATTGGATGAAATGTCAGAGAAGATGAGGCCAAACTGAAGAAATATAAATAGCATCCTCGCCAATTAGGCCTTATTAACAAGATGTCCCGTATGCATGCACCACCGCTCGTAAATGCCAAGCAATGACTTTAAATTTAGTCTAAAAATAACGACGGATTTACGGGTGGCACATGGAGAAGGTGACCAGAAGCTGCAGGTTACACCGAGATGTGTTGTTGCCTGAAGCCAGTGAAGCAGATATGGAGATGATGAACTGAATATGTTCAGAGGGAAAAACCTCGTACGACGTGTGCATTAAAGCAGTTGGATGATGGAGCAGGTTGTTCATCAACGGGCTGAACGTCTAGATCGTCAATGACTTGCTGTTTTTGTCTGAAACTAATTATTCTACCTCAAATAATATCAAGCTTATTGTGAGTCATTCTTTTTGCTGAACACAGATGATGAATCACGATGCCATTAAGTCAAGTTAAAAAAGAGGAATCACGCTGCTCTTTGTTTTTGTCAGTGGACTGAGACAAACAGGACGGATCTCTGAGTGAATGCGATCGCACTGTAGAGACGTCTGAGTCACACATTAATGAATAATTGGTTTCCTGAGAGGCCTAAAAGTTCTGTTTTGCCAGGAGACAGCACCGAGGCTTTTGTTTGGTGGCACAGAAACAAGTCCTGCACCGTTGACTTAGCGAGGTGACGTCAGCGCAGCACGCTCATGGGACTCTTGGCATCAGGCTCAGAGGTGGGCGGAAAAAGAGGTGTGAAGCCAGAGTGTCACCAGACAATGGAAAAAAAATAAAAACAAGAATGGGAAATGGAAAAAGATATTCCCAGCAATGCGCTGTGTGTAATCAAGCTGCTCTACGTTCTGGACTTCATGACTAAAGAAAACCAGCAGTGGGCCGCTCGTCCTCTAATCTGATGGGTTACCTGCTCGTTTTGTTTGCCCACTCACTTACTGCACCCTGTATTTCTTTGTAGATTTCATTGTAATTGGATCCATTTCCCTCCACCAGTCTGCACTCAGTACTCCACAACAGCAAAAGGACGAGTCAGAAGACGTCCAGTGTTGTTGCTTCGGCTCATGAACGGTGAACCCCGGTTTCAGGTCAGTGAACTCTGAAGCCGCTTCTCTTCAAGGAATTCTCTGGATCTGATGCCATTCATCCACGCCTCAGCTCTGAACCTGCCACCGAGAAACACCTCCACCGCATGATACCGCCACCACCATGCTTTACCATAGAGATAGCATTTTTGTCTAGTGTTGTTTTCCTGGTGCTGCCAGAGCCTTTTAAATGTTGTCCAAGAGGACTATTATGTGCCTTTTACTTAAGAGCTGCTTCCATCTAGCCAGTCTACCATAAAGGCTTGACTGATGGATGCTACTGTTGTCCTGACACGATAAGTCTCACAATTATGGGATAACTGCACTCCTGGAAACACTATGCCATTGTTTTTATATTGTGGAGGTCCACAGAGACTTCCTTAGATTATGTGGTAGTTGTCCTGCCATGCACTGTGAATTGTGTGACTATATATACACACGTGTGTATCCTGCAAAGTCCATACATCCATCATCTACATACCGCTTTATCCTCTGTAGGGTCACACAGGGATACGGCAGCTGACTTAGCGTGGAGGCAGAGTGCATCCTGGACAGGCTGCCAGCCTATCACAGGGCCACATAGCACGCCCACATTCACACCTACGGACAATTTACAATCACCAATTAACCTCAGCATGTTTCTGGACTGTGGGAGGAAGCCGGAGAACCCGGAGAGAACCCACGGGGAGAACATGGAGACTCAGAGATTCTGTTTTTGTGTTTAACAAATCTACAAAGACTAAAAAAATAAATAAAAGTGTTCACCTTGTCATTGTAAATTATTGAGTGTAGATTGATGTAAAAAAAGGTAATTTATCCAGGTGAAATAAATCTGGGCGTCTATATGTTACAGGATGTCTCAAACATGGCTAACACACGAGGATAATATTTTAGATTTTGTTGAATAATTTCAGGTAAGATGGTCATTAAAATAATAATAATAATAATAATTAAAAAGCACTGCATGTCTTATGAATAAACTGACTCTTTTTCTTTGTCACAGATTAATTCATCCTGTCACATATTTGTAGAACTGAAAGTGACAAACACACACTTAAACCTCGATGGAGAAAAAACCCATGAGGTAAAACCTTTTATATTATTATTATTATTATTATTATTATTATGGGCGTGATCCAGAAACACAACATGCACACTGTTGGCCTGATTGCTCTCATCGTTCCCTTATCCATCTCACTTCATTACTCCACTGTATTCAACCGTGACCTGAGCTCAACTTTGCCATTTTTCACAGATGAGGCCGTTTCAGAGAGACCTGTGCACACGGACACATCAGCGGGTTGGAGTGCATCGATTTGTTAGCGAAAGCAGCCGACACCTTCACAATCCGTGCTGCCGCATAGACGCTCTGCAGAAATCAGAGAGATTGTAGTTTGAGTCAAAGACAACTGTCAGGTAGCACTGCAACATGTTTCTGGAAAACATGGCAGATGGCAGGAAAGCTTTCTGGCTTAAAGCAGCGTGAGCGCGACAACCTCAAGGTCTGTCCTGATGTGGGCGTTCTCACAACACAGAAACACAGACATGTTCAGGTTTGCAAAGTGTGAACAAAAGCAGAGGTAGAGACGTGACAGTTTGGATGAAGGCCGTTTGCTGAATCAATGATCAACAGGCGGACGAGGCGGGGGACAAAGCCGAGCAGACAGGACGGTCAGGACACCGGCGACAGGCAGGAGTCAGACAGATAACAGGCTGTGGCACCGTAGACAGTCTGGCAAACACGGACTGAAACCTGTCCTCCATACACCACACACTGGGACGGTGATAAGAGAATTAGAGACAGTTGAGGTGGGCGACTGGATCACGTGACCGGCAGGAGCAGGAAACTCAGTGAGGGCAACTAGTGGAGACGTGCAGGATGACAGGATGTGGAAAGTTCCATTACAGAGCCGCCGTGGTGAGACGGTGTGAGGCTGGACGGAGGTGAAGGGGGGATGTGGTCGCCACGTATGGGACCGAGGCATGATTGTAGAGCTCGTTAGGAAAAAGGTGTCACACATCAACGACTTTGTTTAAACCCTGGTTGATTTGAGCCTCTCATTTTGTGTTTTAGCTGCTCTCAGATGTGCGTCGCTTTGGATAAATGAATTGTATACTGTTATTTACATGCATCATGACATGTTCACCAACCTGACACCGTAGGGCAACGTTTGACCTTTTCATATAAAACACAGCCACGGAGCTGGAGTGAAAAATACACTCAGAAGCATATTAGTCATGAGACTGGCTGAGTGACGATCCCCAGATCCCCGAGGGGAACGGCATGAGCAGAGGTCAATAGTCCACTCAAACAAACCCTCGGGGGCTTCTTCGCTTGAGGCGCCGGGGCAGTGATGCATTGTGACAGACAGCAGAGGCTGAAGGGCCAGAAATCCAGCGGTTTCATCAGCGGTCAGTGATGGATTTTCTGCTCCGCACTCATTAGACTGCAAGGACTTGTGGAATATCATCAGAGATCACCTTTGTGTGCAGCTGCTGCCGATACCTGCAGCTTTCAGGGTGTTGATTTAGTCCTATGTAGGTCATATCAGTGTATTTTATGTAGCTGCCTTAATGTGGATCTGGACTGAAATTCTATAGTTTGGTTCATAACAAAACATTTTAAGCATTTTGAAAAGCAGCTACATGGACACATAACTAAATTAAAGGTGCTGCAATGAAGCCCTAACCATTAGCCCACGCTAGCATTGTGCAGCGAAACGTTGTCGTCACTCGTTCACTCCGCTGTGTGTTCTGCTCCGGTCCGTGTGTGTCGGTTTCACTGTGACGCATCAGATTAACCACACACATGGTTAAACAGGCAGTCAGAGGACAGCAGCAAAAGAAGACCTAAAGACTGAACCCTCACACTGAGCTGAAATTACACAAAGTCACACAAATAAATACCTAAAACCTTTGGATTTTCAGGGTCACTCTGCATCTCTTTATAAACCCATGGAGTGTCAAAGGGAGGGACTCACATACATTAATAAGCCAGACAGAGAGGCTTGGATTACAACACAAACCACAGTGTGAGCTGTGTGCCATTGCTCCACTAAATCTTAACAAATAGCTGTTTGCTGGTAATATTGCTGTATCTATGCTCAACATCTCCCACCGTTGTTCTGGTTCTGTTGGATGAAAAAGCACGTCACGCTGTGGTTTGTTTGCAGCCAAATTGCCTCCATGCATGGTGATTTTGTTTTGGGTTAAGCTAATTATTAATAATAATAATGTCTCAACAATTTCTCAAACACTAATCATTCATACAACAGGGTGCTATCCAGCTGCGCTTTAGTGACGCTAGAGAAACCCGATGGATGTTGATGTCAGGTGTAAAAAGGCCCACGTGGTATTTCAGGCTGAAGTGAACACATCCTCAGATGCATCCGTCTCCTCGGCTGGTATGGACACGTGTGGGGACTCTCATGAATAAATAAGATGAATAATGGTGGTCCTTTTCAAAATGGATGTGAAATGCTTCCATGAAAGGTTAACGGCTGCTAAATGAGGACAGACATTTGTCATGCACGCTGTGACAGCAGCTCAGTACGACCAACAGCAGCAGAGCAGCCGCCGGGATGCAGCCTTGTTTTCAGTGAGCACAACAATCTCTTACCTACCTCACTGTACACGCCTGTTTTTTTGATGTATCACCTTGAAATGTGGATATCCAAAGGATGACTTTTGATTACCTTGATCAGCTCCCTTGACTGTGACCACCAGACCAAAATTGTTCAAAATATTTTCCCCGATGAAGAGAACTTGGGATTATGGTTTCCCTTGTCATATATTTGTGCTTTGTCATAGAAAGAGAAAAATGAAACTACGGCAAGAGAAAATTGAACCCAGATGTTGAGGTTACTGGATGACTTGTCATTAAATATGGTACCTTCATTTATGTATCACTCAAGATGAACTGCAAAAATCACAGTTTTTCTAAAAGCACCACCATTCTGTCAGCTGCAGCTTGTCGTACAGTCACATGCTGCAGAGTCGCACCAACAGGCTCTGACGGCCGTTTGGGTTCATGATCCTCTGAGCCACGTACGTCCCAGTGTCTCAGATCTGAAGGTGATCTGAGCCCATCATGGTTCTGTTGCTGAGCCTCCTTTGGTAGTTTAAACAAAGGTACCGCCGTGCTTTCTTTGAAGCATGAATTCTAATATTATGAGACACA